GGGGTTTTTGGGAGCTGGGCTGGAGGCCTGGTGCTATGGGGCGAGTTGGGGTGCCCAGAGCAGCCACAGGAGGAGGCGGGGGGGTGACCATGGGGCGCTGTGCTGCAGCTGTGGGGTGCATGGGTGGGGGGTCCCGGCTGATGCTGGGGGTCCCGGCAGTGGTGCTGGATGACTCGAAGCGGGTAGCCAAGCGGAAGCTGATCGAGGAGAACCGGGAGCGGCGGCGGAAGGAGGAGATGATCAAGTCCCTGCAGCACCGCCCCAACCCCAGCGCCGAGGAGTGGGAGCTGATCCATGTTGTGACAGAAGCCCACCGCAGCACCAATGCCCAGGGCAGCCACTGGAAGCAGAAGCGGAAATTCCTGGTGAGGGGATGCAGCAGAGGGACTCTGTCACCATCCCGGTCCCCACCCTGCCCCCAGCCCCACTGGGAGCTGCTGATCACGCACACACACGTGGCGGCAGTGCCAGGCTTTGGGGTGTCACCAGTGTCCTTGGGCAGTCGAGGGGGGTTGGGACATCGCTCAGTGTCCTTGAGCTGGTCACCCCCGAAGGGTTCAGGGGTGAGCAGTGACCGAAGGGGACAGCTGTGCCCGCGGGTGGCCCCAGCCCTGCCACTGGCCCTGTCACTGTCCCTGTCACACAGCTCCCTCTCCTGGCTGCTGCACCGGCCCTGCCACGACCGTTCCCGGTGACACGGGGGTGTCACAGGGGGACAGGGTCACATCACGGCCCCCCGGGGGTCCCAGGGAGGGGGAACAGGATGACACCGCACCCCCAACACCACTGCCCACCATGGGGGTCCCAGAGGGTGACACAGTCATGCTGCACCCCTCAATGTCCTATCTGCTGTGGGGGTCCCAGGGGTGACGTGGTCACATCGCCGTCCCCAGTGCCACCATGGTGGTCCCAGGGGGCACACGGTGACATCACATCCCCAACACCACCGTGTCCCCCACAGCCTGAGGACATCGGCCAGTCCCCCATGGCCTCCATGCCCGACGGGGACAAAGTCGACCTGGAGGCGTTCAGTGAGTTTACAAAAATCATCACCCCGGCCATCACCCGCGTGGTCGACTTTGCCAAAAAACTGCCCATGTTTTCAGAGGTAATGGCGGGCTGGGGAGTTTGGGAGGTTCTGGGGCAATCTGCCCAGGGTCTGAGTCACACCAAACCCCCCCCCAAAACCGTTCCCATGTCCCCCCCAGCTGCCTTGCGAGGACCAGATCATCCTGCTGAAGGGGTGCTGCATGGAGATCATGTCGCTGCGGGCGGCCGTGCGCTACGACCCCGAGAGCGAGACGCTGACGTTGAGCGGGGAGATGGCAGTGAAACGCGAGCAGCTCAAGAACGGCGGCCTCGGCGTCGTCTCCGATGCCATCTTCGACCTGGGCAAGTCCCTCTCTGCCTTCAACCTGGATGACACCGAGGTGGCCCTGCTCCAGGCTGTGCTGCTCATGTCCTCAGGTAATGGGTGATGGGTGGAATGGGGTGGGCACCCCGGTGCCCTGGGAGTCAGAGGGTGTTGTGTTGGGTGGGCACCTCAATGCTCAGAGCTCTCCCTGTCCTGGGGGTGTGTTGGGTGGGCACCCCAATGCTCAGAGCCCCCCAACAACTTCAGAGTGGTTTGGGTAGGAAACTGTGCACCCCTGGATTTTGGGGGGATTTGGGGTGGGTACCCCAATTCCCAGAACTTCAGGCAGCTGTGCCAAGCTGGGTCCCAGGAGCATTGAGTTGGGCACCCCAGTCCTGGGTACCCAGGAGCACAGGCTGAGCCTCTTGGTCCCCTGGGGACCCCTGCCAGGCTGATGTGGGTCTGGGGGGTGAGCACCCCAAAACCCAGGGGGACACTGGGTGGGACATTCAGCCCTGTGAGAGGGACAATCCCTGCAGGTGCTGGACTGGGAGAGGGACTCTTCCATGGGCAGAGAATGCCAGGACAACAAGGAGAGGTTTAAACTAAAAAGGGGAGATGGTGATGGGGTACATGGAAAAAATTCCCCTCTCTGAGGTTGGTGAGGCCCTGGCACAGGTTGTCCAGAGCAGCTGTGGCTGCCCCATCCCTGGAAGTGTCCAAGGCCAGGCTGGAGCAACCTGGGCTAGTGGAAGGTGTCAAGGTGTCCCTGCCCATGGCAGGGGTGGCACTGGAGGAGCTTTAACGTCCCTTCCCACCCAAACCATTCTGAGATTCCACAATCCCCTGAGCATTCCCTGCTTCCCGCAGACCGGACGGGGCTGATCTGCGTGGAGAAGATCGAGAAGTGCCAGGAGACGTATCTGCTGGCCTTTGAGCACTACATCAACTACCGCAAACACAACATTCCCCACTTCTGGCCCAAGCTGCTGATGAAGGTGACGGATCTGCGGATGATCGGCGCCTGCCACGCCAGCCGCTTCCTGCACATGAAGGTGGAGTGTCCCACCGAGCTCTTCCCCCCCCTCTTCCTCGAGGTCTTCGAGGACCAGGAGGTGTAGGGCTGACACCCCCCACCCTGTGCCCCCCCAACCCCGCTCTGGCCCCCCCAAAAATCTTTCTCATCCCCCTGTAAGGACAAGGGGATGCTGTGCCCAGGGTGGGGGGTCCTGCTGTGCCCCCCA